ACCGAAACCCTTAAACCCTATAAACCCTCGACGCGAGCCCCCCAAAAAAACCGACACTGCATCCTAAACCCTACGCGGCTGAGGGTTTAGGGATTAGGGATTGGGGTTTAGGGTTTAGGGTTTAGGGCTTAGGGGTAGGCCCTGAGAAGGTCGTCACGATAAACAAAAACACAAAGCGTCTAGGAAACCCTAAACCCTAAACCCTAAACCCTAAGCCCTTGGGCCTTGGTTTTGGCGCCCAGGAACTGAGGACTTAGGGCTGGTCTAGGGTTTAGGGTTTGGGGTTTAGGGTTTAGGGTTTAGGGTTTGGGGTTTAGTAGGGTTTGGGGTTTAGGGTTTAGGGTTTGGGGTTTAGGGTTTAGGGTTTGGGGTTTGGGGTTTAGGGCTTGGGGTTTAGGGTTTTGGGTTTAGGGTTTGGGGCTTGGGGTTTAGGGTTTGGGGTTTAGGGTTTGGGGTTTAGGGTTTAGGGTTTGGGGTTTGGGGTTGCTGAATTAGCACTGGCTTGCGGTTCAGTCACTGGTAGCCTGTGAGGGCTAAGGATCCGAGGATGTACTCGAAAGATAATGAGATTCGAGGATGTACTCGAAAGATAATGAGAATGATGAAAGGAGAGCAGCCGATTGACAGAAGCCAGCTGAAGAGGAGCAGACTTCAAGGCTCAGCTGCTATGGCACCTTTTGTCGACGCAGAAGAAGCTGCGCGGGGGCTTGCGCCCAGTCGGCTGCGAGAGTGTTCACTCTGCAGCACTTGCAAAGATATACGAGTCACATCAGAGCTGGTCATCAAATCAACACCGATCAAAATCTCTTTACTGATGTGACGTCAGAGTCGGAGTCTACTTTAGATCTCGTCTTGTTCTTCCAGGCCCGCTTCTTCTTCGCAGACACAAACTGCGAATGAAACTGTAAACAAAGTTCCCCTTTATGAATGGCAGTAAGGAGAGTCTGAAAAGAGAAAGGCTTGGACAGGTTATCAGCAAGCTGTTGATCTGAATCGACCCATTTGAAATGCATCCCAGCAGACTTGATGCGCTCGCGTATGGACAAAACCTCCAGGGCTAATCGTCGTTCTTCCAGTTGAAGACCACTGGTTTCAATCCTATGCACAGAATCATACAGGTTTTTACTGTCAGTAACCACGACGGACTGGAAACGACGGAGTGCCTTGTCCATGTCTTTATAGTCAATCACCTGCTGATTGTACCACTCTAGGAGAAGTTGTTTGGTGAACTCATGAGTATCCATGGCATGGCTACCTGTTTGAATTTCAGCCGCAGTAGAACTCCTACAGATTCTGGGGAGCTTTCGGGACTGCCAGCCTAGAGGAGAGTACTTACCTACCTTCCCTGCAAGAACACACTTGTCAACCAGCATAGTGAAGACGCCACCCTGGGATGATCCATCACGACGACAAGCGTACGAAGCATCATGATACGTAAGCAAAACCGGTTCGGAAATCTCGGACGGAAAATACAGTGTTTGTTGACTATAAATCCGTTGCATTCGGATCAGCTTGTTGGCTTGAATGAGATCTCCCACCTTGGCGGCTTTGTGACATCCTTGCAGATAGGAAACGCTGGCGGCTAGCCATGGAGCCGATTGCGTGGCTCTCCAGGAGAGTGCTCCCAGAGCTGCTCGAAACTGTTTGCGTTCGTCTTCGGTTACCTCCAATTCGGGCTGTTCCTTCCGGACTTTACTTAGGGGAATCTCATTGATCCCTTCAGCATACCTTTCTTGGTTCAGCTCAATTGATCCGTCCTCCTTCTGGCGAATTTCACACCCACAGAACATACTAGGCTCTTGCAATGACTTCCATGACCCAAAGGGAAAACTCTCTCTCAACACTTGAACTCGTTTCCGGAACCTCTCTCCAGAACCACAACAAAGGATGTCATCTACGTGAATCCCTATCAGACCGCATAAAGTCCTGTCAGTGTTGTAGAGACGCCATACACACGGTTCCAGTCGAGACTGCGTCCATCCTTGCTTCTGAAGTTCCTTGGCAAGCTTGTCAGCCCAAGCCCTGGGTGCATGGAGAAGTCCGTACACGGCTTTGAGAATCCTAAACAGTTCGTTTGGACGCATGTTTAACATTCTACGGACTTCTTCAGGAGGTTCCGCAAACACTTCTCTCTGGGCCTCGGTTTTGTCGCCGTTTAAGAACGCCGTCTTGATATCGCCTAAATAAGCATCCCATCTGTTCGCAGCCGCTAAAGCCAAGATCATGTTCCTGCTTTGGGTAGCAAGAGTCGGAGAGTCACGTTTCAGATGAAGAAGATCAGGATCCTGATAACCCTTGATGATCAACCTAGCCTTCGGCTTCTGTCCGGTAACCTCACCCTGTTCGTTAGTGACAGCCTTCCACGACAGGACCCAGCGCATGCCCATGACTCTAGCTGCCGGAACATTGTGTCTCTTTGCAATGGCAACAGCTTCATGTTCTAAATACGAGCTCAATTCACCTTGCATGGCCTTCATAAAGTCAAGTTTGTCACTATCCTCAAGATGCCTAAACTGAACTTCCGCGCGACGCTTGGGCTTGTCATTCAAAACCCAAACAGGACTGCCTCGATGGTTGATCTTATGAACATCACGAGGTTGAAGATCCAAGGCAATCTCGATGACTTCGTGAGAGCTATTGAGGGCAGTGCTAAAGTGAACTTCAAGGTCCCGGCCTTCACCAGGTTGTTCCTTAGCATACGTGATACGTCTAGGCTTCTTCTCCTGGAGGCTTTCCCACAGGGGTTCAGCGGAGGCTCGTTGCCACTCAAAGCATCCAAACTTCAGGTTCTCAAGACCTGACTGTCCGTCATCGCACCCTGTTTCAAGGCCTTTGCTAAGAACACGCAAACTGCCTACTTCTTCTTCAGCGCAGCAATTTTCTATCTCATCCTCAGCGATGGGTTCGAGCGGACAGCAAGGTTCACACGCAAAAACCTGACCACTTTGGCTCGATGGAAATGGTGAGCGACTTCGTCCTCGGCTCACTTCTTCTCGGCCATCCATGCTTCCATGACGGTCAGGCGCTGGTTCGCGGCTTCGGCCTTTTCGTCCGTCACCTGCGCTTGGGACATAATCTGGTATAGTGCCTGCTGCTGCTGAATGACGGTCTCTTCCAGCTGGGAGATTCGGCCCTTGAGATGTTCCACTGTCCCGTTGAGCATCGCGATCATCTGGGCCATGGCTCTGGGATTGACCTCGTCGACGATCTTCAGCCACTCGTTCGTCTCTTCGGGCTCTGTGCTCATCTCGGATCTGGTCGGCTCGCTTCCAGAACTCTTCGTGATCACCTTGACGCTGCACAGGGTCTTCTCGTTGTAGACGATGAGCTTGATGAAGTTCGTGTTGTCCTCCTGATGCTCCAGCAACCACTTCACGTAGCTGGGGTCCTGACTCGCTTCTTGCACTGTTCGGCCCTTGTACTTCCCGACTGTGATCTTCTCCTGGGCTAGGTCCTTGAGGTCCATGTTGAGGCAGCGTTCGCGTTCGGTCTCTTCCGCCTTCAATTTCTTCTCCTTCTGGCTCTCGGTGACCTTGGCATTGAACGCCTGTAGGAGGGGGTTGTTCTGGCTGCCCATGGCGAGGTGGCTGTTTCCCGAAGATACGGAAAGGGGGAGCAGGACTTGGCGTCGGTTCACTTGGGCCAGGAACGACCGGCTCGTGCTCATGTATCTCTGAGTCTTCAGGTTCTTCGGCCAAATCCTGGGATATATCCCTGTAATTGGCCTGATTCCCAGCTCGAATGACATCATCAAAGGGGGAATTGACGCCCTGACTGATTTCATGCGCCATACTCAGACTACTGGGCACCGCCCGCAGCTGCTCCGGCGCACAACGATACAAAATCGTCGCGTGAATGACCCATATAACCGAACCAACGCTTTGATTCCGCTCAGGAGATCCCTGCTTCTCAATGGCAACAACCCTTGCAGGCCCATGCCAACCGGCCTCATGCCTACTTGTGTTGTTGCGCCCTTTCCTATAGAAAAACACAAGCTGGCCTACCTGAAAGTTTTCGCTTTTGCGCGCACGTCCTCGCGCGGCGCGATGGATCCTGCGCCGGCTATCTGCTTGCAGGAAAGTCCTTCGTGCCGCTTCGGATCTTTGTAAGGACTCTTCAAAGGTCTCCTGTCCTCGGAGGCTTTGCGTTGGCAGATGGTTCCCATACTGCAAGTATGACTGCACCCTGTCGCATCCCTGACCAAAACACCACTGATTAGGACTTTAGCCCCTGACCTGGTGCATCTCGTTCTTAGATGCCAAACAAAGCTCAAGAAGCTCCTGCGCTGCAACGTTTGGCCCCAGTTCCAAGGACAGCAAAGACATGTTCTCTTTCAGGACTTCAAGGTGTCTAGAGTGCTTACCAACCTGCCAAGCGGCCTCTCCCGCAATGACACTAACCTTAATGGCTTGTGCCTCAATCCAATCCAGAAGTCCTGAGTCTCGAAAGGCACCCTCGTCATCGAAGCGCAGGGTTTCAGGTTTTGGGAGATGCCGTAACCAACCCTGACAAAAAGCTTCCCGAAACTCCGAAGACCTGATAGACCCTTGTTTCTTGTTCCCTGACCGAAGCACTAAAGCAGTGTGGAAATCACTGGCCTCATCCAACCACGAAACCCCTAACACATGTTCTTTGGGATTACCCTGGGCGTCTTTGTGAGGACTGTGCCACCAAAAGGTGTCGACACTAACTACTTCCCACTTGCGAGTCGCATGTGGCACCTGCGCTGTGCGATGGGGATTGGCGTGCCCTCTCTTGGCACAATGGTGGCATTCATAGTTGGCTGCCAGCTTAATCAGGTCCTCTGAGGCCCGAGCGTCTTTGAGCATGCGAACAAGAACTTGATTTGAGGGATGACCTAGATTAGCATGTATCACTCTCAGCTTTTCTTTCAGGATACTGGGGTTCCATTGGGGCTCTTTGGTTTCTTTGAGTTCGCTAGTTTGCTGACTCGGCTCTTCAGGGTGATTTTGGACAGTCATGCATCGGTCAACTCGGGACTTCATCAAGACCTTCGCAAAAGACCTACAAAAACTCTGAGGATACACAGCAGTCTCAGCTACTGCCCTGCCGGCCACGGAAGCACGCTCATGCTCATGCCTACCGACTTTGTCTAGCGCTTCGCGAATTTCCGGACTACTACTGAGCCAACCCTTCTGAATAGCAAAACCGCTACATCTAGTCTCAGCCCCATAACGACAATCCTCAATTCTGAAACGCTCTCCCCCGCAAAGTCTCACCATAAGCTTCACTGAAGGCTCCTTCCAAGACGCTGCACTAAGAGGCTGCTCTCCGCCGACATGTGTATCCTGGCAATCTGGCCCCATACCAGATTCACCCTGCAACTCCTGACGCTGCACCTGGATTAGCTTCAGGCAGCTGCGAAGGATCAAACGACCGTGAGCTCTTTGCTTGAGTTGTTCGGCTTCCTGTTGAGGGTTCTTGTGGTTAGCACAGCTAGGGGTGGTCCATGGGAAACAGGGAGGCGAGACATGCACATACCTAGGCCGCAACTTCCGGAGCGTAGCCAGTGCCTTTTTTCAGACCCGCCTTAGTAGCCAGGTCATAACCACTGTGCAACCCCATTCGGTACGCATGTCCTCCAGCCTCTTCCACTGCCGTGGCTAAAGGTGAATCCTCTGAACAGCAAACTTCTAGCAAATCATATCGTGGCATGTCAACATGATTAACCTCAACCCTCAATCCCTGAACGATTCCCTCAAAACATTGAAGCTCGCTACAGGCCTGGTCTTGAAGTACTCTCTTCACATCTTCAGGGATATCAAAACTCAGCTCAGGATCGTTCCAAACAGTAGACTCCGGCTCATTTAAAACACTTGCTGGACTTTGCCCTGCGTCAATGGGCCTACGGCCACTCTGAGATTCTTCCAGCGAGTTTCTCAGGTGGAGCTGTCCCTACTCCTGAGCGACAGCTTCTTCTTTTGCGTCGAACATCTGGGCACAGGCCCTCAGGAGAGGACCGGCTGCATCCTGCGCCACTGCGGTGAGTGCACGGGCTTTGTCATGTCCTTCGAAGGCTGTGACGGGCATCAAGAGGTGGTACGTGGCAGCCCGCTCGAGCTGGATCACCTCCTGGCCCAAGAACGGGAAGATGGCTTGACCGCGCCCAAAGTCGATGATGGCCTTCTGCTCGTACAGCCATTTGCCGGAAAGGAGCAACGGCGTCTGTCCTTCAACCACATGCACGCCCAGCTTCTGCTCTCGACCATGGATTCCGGCCGTCACTGTGGCATGTCCTAAGGCCTGACTGGACTCGTTGTTGCCGAAGACGAAGGTCTTTCTGAGAGGCCCTCGAGCTCGGAATGGAGTCTCTGCAAGGTCAATGCTCCCACAATGCTCTCTGAGGCGCCGCAGTCCACAATGGCTCGCGTATTGTGCTCGGTCACCGCGCCCGTGAGAAGCGGCTGCGCCTCATCGTCCGTCCAGTTGGTGTACACCAACCCGACACCGATTCCCTTTCCGGGTCCTCGGCCTTTGCCACCTTGCGGACAGTTCTGCGCTTTATGACCGAAACGGCCACACCGCATGCACTTTCCACGGAACTCCACCTTGGCATCATCTCCTTTGGCTGTTGCCCTTGCTCTTGCCTTTTCCTTTTCCTTTGGTGTTCGGGTAGAAGCCGCGGTTGACCCGACTCTGATCCAAGGCCTTTCTGGCGTCCTTGTAGAAGGCTTTCTTTGCTTCGTTGAAGTTTGCCAGGACAACCTCATCGGACGGGTTCTCCTGGAGTGCTTCTAACGCCTCCTCAAACCAGATCTCGGTCGCTTCCTCGTCCTCTGGCTCCAGGGCTCCATCGTCCTCGGGGTCGGTCCACCATACTCCGGCTCCATCACCGTCTTCATCCTCGTACTCCTCAACTGCCATGTATGCCTTGGCGGACTTCTTTCTTTCCTGGTCTTTCACTACCAGGCTGTCTCCACCCCACATCTTCCGCAATGCCTTCCAGACATCAGCAAGCTTGTAGCTGGCCGTCTGCGACTTGAGAGTCGCCACGTCGGAAGGCTCCAGCCGGATATGCTTGTTGAGCAGGAACCAGCCGTAGATCTCTGACGGTACCTCCACGGAGGTCCCCATCTCTTGCAAGGCTCTGGCAATGTCCCGGAAGTGCACGGAGACGCGCTGCTCGAAGTCCGTTAGGCATTCACGGTCCTGACGAATGGCGTCACCTGACTGAAAGTACTTCTCAAAGGCCTCACCTAAGATATCAACCTGCTGCTTGCCCCGCTTCTCCTTCAAGTACTTGAGGAGGTAGTCGAGTCCTTCCTTCTTGCGGAGTTCAGCTCGGTCAATGTCGGCGCAGGCCTCCCAAGCCTTGCCCGTCAGATTCCTCGCCAAGCGAGGAGCGAGGGTCAGCTGATCTTCTTCCTTCAAGCCAACTTTCTCCAAGAGGCATGCCAAACGGAAGTCAGCATACGTACGCCAATCGCCATCCCACGTCGGCAGCTTGGGGTTCACTCCAAGTTCCGACGGTGTTGCCATCGGGCTCTCCTGGGGTCCCTTCGATCGTGACAGGCTCCGCTACCAGTGCTGAATTAGCACTGGCTTGCGGTTCAGTCACTGGTAGCCTGTGAGGGCTAAGGATCCGAGGATGTACTCGAAAGATAATGAGATTCGAGGATGTACTCGAAAGATAATGAGAAAGCTGCTATGGCACCTTTTGTCGACGCAGAAGAAGCTGCGCGGGGGCTTGCGCCCAGTCGGCTGCGAGAGTGTTCACTCTGCAGCACTTGCAAAGATATACGAGTCACATCAGAGCTGGTCATCAAATCAACAGGGGTTTAGGGTTTGGGGTTTAGGGTTTGGGGTTTGGGGTTTAGGGTTTGGGGTTTCGGGTCCAGGAGTTTCAGGTTGAAAGTGCTTTCGGGTTTGGGGATTTTTGGAAGGTCGCACCCTATGCCTCGCGGTTCCGCTGTCCCTGGCGAGCTTTGCAACCCTAAGCCCTAAGCCCTAAACCTTAAACCCTAAGCCCTAAGCCCTAAACCCTAAGCCCTAAACCCTAAACCCCAAACCCTAAACCCTAAACCGTAAGCCCTAAGCACTAAAACCCTAAACCCTGTGCACTTTTGTGTTTTCATCATGGTTTTAGGGTCTAGGGTACGTGGAGTATGTCTTGGGGAGACTGGCTCGAACACATAACAAGTTACTCGGACAAGGACTCGCTGCAACTTTTTAGGGTTTAGGGTTTAGAGTTCAGGAGGGAACCATAAATAATTCTAGTGGCAGCCTAGTTTTAGTTACTCAACAGTAGCCAGTATACTTAACCCCCCTGCCCCAGAGGGCCCGAAAGCCTCCGAAAGCACCAAGATCCCAAGCCTTAAAGCCAATACACCCTAAAGCCTGAATCCTAAACCTTCTACTATGTACTTCCTGGTACCCCAGTAACCATATTACAATGAGGGTACCCATTTATTGGCTTGGGTCCTTCATTAAATTGGGTAAAGGGTATCACTGGGCTACCAAGCCAAGGTAGACACTAAACTCTAAACCCTCAACCCTAAACCCCATCAGGCCCCTAGCTCCTTCGTGATGTCTGCCACCGCTGCCTTAGCCTTCTCCAGGGTGCGGCCGGTGACGTAAACCTACCGTGAAGCTGAGGGGTTGCTGAGGCGAAGGCTACTTTCAAAGGGTTTCGGGTTTAGGGTTTAGGGTTTAGGGTTTCGGGTTTAGGGCAGGTTTAGGGTCCCTCATACTACGAGTCCTTCATAGAGATTTTCGAACCCCCCTAATAGAACCCCTATTAAGGAGAAGGGTGAACATCCAAAGATTGTTACATGGCCCCTAAGTACGGGCCCTTAAACGGGGACCTCTTAAACAACACTCTCTAGAAACCTTAAGGGACCAGGACCATACTGAGGGTCCATGTAACTACCCTTAGATATTTTCAATTTCGAAACATGCAGTTCCTAGTTGCCCGCAGGGTTAACCTTTCATTCTAAACCCTAAACCCTAAAGCCTAAACCCTAAACCTTAAACCCTACACCTAAACCCTAAACCCTAAACCCTAAACCCTTAAAGCCTAAACCCTAAGAAGTGCTAGTTCAGCTTCAGGGTTCAGGGTTTAGGGTTCAGGGTTTCGGGTTTGGGGCTTTATTTGCTTGCTTTTTGGGGGCGTGGCGTTGGTTTGAGCTCATGGGGGGGGGGGGGGGGGGGGGGGTGGGGGGTGGGTTTTGTGTCCCTAAGGCCCAAACAACCCTAAACCGTAAACCCTTAGAACAAGTACACTGCCCAACAAACTGCCCAAACCCAAAACCCTCAGTGCTACACCGGGCGTTAGAACCAGAAACCGATTGACTCTGCTCGATCCGACATCTGCGAGCGTCACAGAGCCAACAAAATCTCTGAGTCTCGTCCCCGGGAGTCACTAATGAAACCCTAAACCCTAAACCCTAAACCCTAAACCCTAAACCCCATGAGACACTCTTCAATGACGGTAACAAGCCAGGAGCCGGACCTCGGCACCCGCAGCCGTGAGAGTGCGTGCTGCCTCCAGTCCCACGCCGGCGGTGGCGCCGGTGATGACGACGACCTTTGCAAAAGCCACGGCTGGGGGTTTAGGGTTTAGGGTTTAGGGTTTAGGGTTTAGGGTTTAGGGTTTAGGGTTTAGGGTTTAGGGTTTAGGGTTTAGGGTTTAGCCATGTCATATGATAATATGCTGGCTAGACGCTGGCTAGTTGAAAAAGGACCCTAGAACCCCCCGAAACAGGGAAAAGGGCGCTGCTGCAACACCTAAATCAGGAGGCCTGGGGCTTCAAGGCCTAGGTCCCTAAGCCCTAGCGCGTATCAACCCTGATCCCCAGCTACATGTCACCCGAAACCCAAAACCCTAGACCCTCAACCTTACAGGTCTTAGATTTGCGGGAAAAGTTGGAGGTATAGGAGCGGAGGGGGGGCAAGTGAGGTCGAAAACGGAATCTGGTGGAAGAGAGGGAGATGGTGGCTTAGGACTTAGGGCTGTTTAGGTTTCAGGGCTTCGGGCTTAGGGTCTCGTTGATTACCAGGGATCCGTGTATGTACCGGGCAGCGTGGCTAGCTAGATGCGGCATAGGTACCTTAAGCCCTAAATGCCCCAAACCCTAACTACCCTGAATACCCTAAACCCTGAACCCTACCCACACACCCCGAAACCCTAAACCCTAAACCCTAAACCCTAAAAAACCTACACGCCAATAGTGTCCAAACATCCCAACCTGCTGATGAACCCGCCTTGCCAGCGGCATCCTTGAGGGCATCGGCAGTGAGCCTTCGGTAGGGCTTGTGGGTTTTAGGGGGGGTTTAGGGTTTAGGGTTTAGGGTTTAGGGTTTAGGGTTTAGGGTTCAGGGTTTAGGGTTTAGAGTTGAGCGTTGAGGGTTCAGGAACAGTTCTTCGCAAGGCCCCACAAAGAACTCATTGATGTTGTTTCGCATCCCATGGCGAGACCCTAAAGCCTAAACCTAAACCCTAAACCCTAAACCGCTGGAACAGCACAAGGCGAAGTCCCAATAACAACTCCAAATCAATAGTCCAGCAAGCTGCAAGAAAACCCGGCGAACCCCAATCGAACCCTAAACATTCAGACATCAAACCAGATGGCCCCGCCTAGACGGCCCTTTGTACACCCCCGAATGTTTCTGGAGGTTCAAAATCGCACAATCGTACGAAAAGTGTCCAACTCGCAATGCTCAAATATGTTTAACTATGCGCTTGGGAATTCTGGACAACAACGGCGACCTAACTCCTAACTAAGGACATAAGCCGAAAACGTTGACCTGACCCACACCTAGGCTCAAAAGCAAACGCTGAATAAGCCTGTCAAACCCTAAACCCTAAACCCTAAACCCTAAACACTAAACCCTAAACCCTAAACCCTAAACCCTAAACCCTAAACCCTGCCCGGGGAGCGTGGCGAGACGTTCTGCCCGAACCGCCCCGCCGCCGGCCGCAATGCCCGTCAGACCCAGGAGTGACAAGGCGCTGCGACGCTGGCAGGAGTCCTGGCAGGGGTTTAGGGTTTAGGGTTTGGAGTTTAGGGTTTAGGGTTTGGAGTTCAGGGTTTAGGGTTTTGGGGTCTGGGGTTTAAGGGCTTGGGGCTTGGGGTTTGGGGTTTGGGGTTTGGGGTTTGGGGTTTAGGGTTTTGGGGTTTGGGGTTTAGGGTTTGGGATTTTGGGTTTTGAAGTTTAGGGCTACAGGGTCTGCACATGGGGTCTAGCCTCTTTTGCCCAGCAAAGGCCAAGGTTGGGGTTGCTTGGGATGTGGTCAACAGCTCTTCAGTAGAGGACTTCTGGATGGCACATTTTCTGGGGTTTCGGGTTAACGGTTGAAGGTTAAGGGTTTCAGGTAGTAAAGGACAGTCGGCGATCCTTTTGTCGGCTGCATCGAGAAGCACAGGCACACCCCGAAGCAATCCCAACATGGGAATCCAAAGATTCGTTCCCGGACAGCTCACTGCTCTGCGCACGACCTGTGTCCCCCAGCCCTACGAACCCTAAACCCTGTAAACCCTAGACCCTAAGCCCTAAACTCTGAACGTAGATCCTAAACCTTAAACCCTAAACCCTAAATCCTACATCCTCAACCCTAAATCCTAAACCCTAAACGCTAAACCCTAAATCCTAAACCCTCAATCCTAAACCCTAAACCCTAAACCTCCGGGCACCTCCTGGTCTGGTGCGCGGGCTCTCCGCTGCACGCTGCGGCGCGAGCTCCTGCAGCGCGGGCTTCGGGATTGGAGGGAAGGCAGGGGTTTAGGGTTTAGGGTTTAGGGTTTAGGGTTTAGGGTTTAGGGTTTAGGGTTTAGGGTTTAGGGTTGAGGATTTATCATGTAGGGTTTAGGATACGTATTTAGCTTAGTTTAGGGTTTCGGGTTTAGGAGTTGGGGTTTGTATTTAGGGTTTAGGGCAGTTGAGGGTGTTTAGGGTTTAAAGTATTTAGGTTTAGGGTGTTTTAGGGTATTTAGGGTTTAAGGTATTAGGGTTTAGGGTATTTCGGCATTCAGGGTGTTTAGGGTATTTAAGATAGGGTTTAGGTCTTGTACCCTGCTTGGCGAATGGTCGTGTATATACCCCCTGAAGCGAGACTTGCCAGTCTTTCGGGCTTTGAGAAGGGTACGCGTGCCCCCGCCGACTTTTTGAAGCCTTAGGCGAATCTTCTGGGAACGGGTTTGTTTTGTTTTGCCGGAAGGGGCACCAGTCGCCTGAGGATACAAAGGGCGCCATTGTTACCCGAAACCCTAAACCCTAAACTCTAAACAATAAAACCCTAAACCCTAAACCCTAAACCCTAAACCCTAAACAATAAAACCCTAAACCCTAGCCCTAAACTCTAAACAATAAAACCCTAAACCCTCAAGAAGGTCACTACTGGGCGTCCAAAAGGTCCAGGGAAGAGGTAGCCCAGAGGGGATGGCTGTCAGCTCTTGCTATATATACATACTCACTGGGTTTAGGGTTTAGGGTTTAGGGTATAGGGTCTAGGGTTTTCGGTTTAGGGCACCATGTGGGAA